ACAATTGCATTGCTCAAATGTGCTGTTATTGGTACCATTTACTACTGAAAATATCAACGAGATGTTTATTTATATTTAAAGACATATTAAAGGCTTTAATGCTTGTTTTCGACTCGCACTACTATTCATGATTGAACAAAACTTTTGGCAGGTACTGTATGAAAAAGCTTGTTTAATGAACAAGAGTCGAGTGTATAATGAGCTTTTTTCTCCTGACCTACAATTTTGCCAGCGGGCATCGAAGACTTTGGAAGGGTCACATCGCTAGAGAAAGTAAACAAAGTATAACAATTGACCGAATCAAACGAAAATAATAAACGCTGATGATCATGAGGATTTAACAAAATGATGTAGTAATAAAATTACTGTGAAGATTGTATTGATCCAATATAAGTACCAATAAAATACAAGGAAACAATTTTGATTCCTGAAATTCCAAAACGAAAAGATTGAATAATAATAGTCAAAAATAATATGGAAATGGTGCAAGAAGTTCTTTTTATTACTGAATTCATTTTTATTTTAACTAATTTAATTAATTTAAACTACATGACATCTAATCACATTTACATTATTATTATTATTACTTTTTTATACAATTGAAAATTTGAAAAAAGTCGTGCCTCATAGAAGCTATGTAAACAATGTATGGATAGGTTTATTTGTTTATACATTGTGAATATTTATAACTCTTTCCTTCGGACATTTTTTTATAGCAAGTCATGTTGTACAGTTCTAACATAAATATGTTATTGCTTTTTAATCTATAATACCTACGTACTACTAATTTTTATAGCATTTTTATGTTTTGTAATTTGTTGTAACAAGTGTTATTTGTTGTTTTAAGAGAATTTGTTATGTCATCATGTAGTATGTCTAACTTTTGTGAAATATTGAATTCACTTTTATGACTTCTTGTTATTGCAGTCGTTCCTACATTGTAGTTGTAGTCGAAACCTACTATTTCCTATAACCGCCATGTATTCATTACAGGTGGTAAAGGCGGTGGCCTAGGTGGTGGAGCTGGAGGAGGCGGATTTGGCGGAGGAGGAGCCGGAAGTGGCGGAGGAGGAGCAGGAAGTGGCGGATTTGGAGGTAGTGGCGGACATGGAAGTGGTTTATTTGGAGGTAGTAGCGGTGGGGGATTAGGAGGTGGACATGGAGGCGGCGGTGGCCTCGGAGGAGGCGATGGAGGTTTTGGTGGTGGCAGTAGTGGCGGTGGAGGATTTGGAGGCGGTGGTAGTAGTGGCGGTGGATTTGGCGGCGGTAGTAGCGGCGGAGGAAGTTATGGTGGCTCTGGTGGTTTTGGAGGAAATGGAGGTGGATTAGGAGGCGGTGGTGGCCACGGAGGTGGATTAGGAGGAGGAGGCGGTGGTGGCCATGGAGGTGGTTTAGGCGGTGGATTGGGCGGGGGTGGATCAGGAGGAGGTAAGTGCGATAACTTTTGATTCATAGGTACATTATTAAGATAATTATTTTATCTGAACAACTCAAGATACAACTACAAACACGAAATTAGTTTTCATTAATTATGCGGCTCTTTCCATACTTTCAAGGAATTGAATAATATGTGAAAGCAACTCGAATTTTCAACTAGTCGTATATTTTACTACTGGAAAATATAGTCGGTCATTGTGCTTTTCTTGAAAAATGAATTCCTTGCTAAAACATGATTTGTGTTCTCCTTTATTAAAATTATTCTTCCAGAATTTACTTACGATATTTTAAGTTAGTACTGAATAGTAAATTATAAATTGAATGAAATAATAGTAAATAATTCTCTATGTAATATTTCAGGTGGATTCGGCGGTAGTGGAGGAGGTGGTAACGGTGGCGGACTAGGAGGTGGCCATGGAGGAGGTGGCGGCCTTGGAGGCGGTGGCGGCCTTGGAGGAGGTGGCGGTCTTGGTGGAGGACTAGGAGGTGGCAATGGAGGCGGTGGTGGTCATGGAGGTGGTAATGGCGGAGGATTAGGAGGAGGTCTAGGAGGAGGTGGAGGAGGTGGCGGCGGTCTTGGAGGCGGAGGAGGTCTTGGAGGCGGTGGTTATGGCAGTCATGGGGGTGGCGGTCATGGAGGTGGCGGCCATGGAGGTTATGGTGGCGGAGGAAAAGGAGGAGCGTATGCCTCAAGCTCTGCTCAAGCATCAGCTAGTGCCGGAAGCTAGTAAGTTTTAAAAATTCTTTTAGCGCCAGTGAAATATTACTTTTGGTGTAATTTCACAATGAAGCAACAAAATTACCCTGAAATAATTTTTGGACAGTCTGGAGGTCTCATACTAAAACAAAGGGTCTATTTGCTAAAAGGGTGCTAATAGTGTTAATTTTTGACCCAGGCGGGATAACTCCTAATCAATGTGGGAGTTACTAATCATCATATACAGATTAAACCTTAGAACCAGCATCCTTTATTAAACTAGAATTTAACTATACTGTAACGTGATTGTGTGTGACATTATTTTGTTTTTTTTCAGTGGAAGAAAATGAAATCAAGTCATCCCTAAAACTCGAAACGTGATATAGTTAGTTAAGTTGTATATAATAATTTGTATTTCACATTTTTCTAAGTTTTAAAATAAATAAAGAATCCCCAAAGTATATGTCTATGTCACGAATGTGTGCTTGTTACTCAGTATAAAATGTTATGATTTTTTTTCTTTTAATGAAAAATAAAGTTCGTATAAACCCGATATACACGTTTCATTACCTACATTTTTATTACTACAAGGTAAAGTTTGTATGTTTCTAATTTTGGATGTAAGAAGTAACCTCCGAAACTACTCATCCAACTTCAAAAATTCTTTAGAATTTTAATATTTAAAAATAGACCTTCAATTTAACAACATCAGTCAATTAAAAAGCGAATACGTTTCTTATGAACGCTGCTTTAGCGGTAAAAAGTACATTAAATATTATTTCTAAAAGAAAGCAGTGGAAATTAAAAAGGCCTGCAAAAGACGACTCTTACCATCACAAATTCATTTCCAACCCAGCGAATAATATTCAATATAAATAAGCATTAGGTTTTACCTGCTGCTTCGCTCGCCTTATGTCTTAAATACATGTCAAAGATCATTTTCAATTTTCTATCATTCGGTAGTAGTACTTTTTTTTATTAAAGCAATCCTGTGCTCTTTTCTGAACCCCAGATCATGTGTGTTTAAAGTTTCAAAATAGGTTTTACCCGCCGCTTCGCTCATGTTGATGCCCCAGATACGTGTCAGAGATCATCGACGACCTTATAAAACTAATTTTTCTTTCCCTCGGGAACAGTACTTTTTTTTTTAATTAAAGTAACCCTGTGTCCTTTTTCTTAGACCTCTGATCATGTGTGTTTAAATTTTCATAATAGGTTTTACCCGGGGTTTCTTTTGCGTTGATGTCCTAAATACGTGTCAAAGGTCAACGACGACCATATAAAACTAATTTTTCTATCCCTCGGGAACACTACTTCTTTTTAGTTAAAGCAACCCTGTGTCCTTTTCTATACCGCTGATAATGTGTGTATAAAATTTCATGATAGGTTTTACCCGCGGCTTCGCTCGTACATGTCAAAAATCATCGACGACCATATAAAACTAATCTCTCGGAATCCAATATCCATTTTCTGTACCCCTGACAATGTGTGCACAAAATTTCGTGATTATCGATTGAATAGTTCAGGCGTGAAAGCAAATATACAAATTCTTTTACAAGTTAGAAAACAAAAAAGAGAAAATAAAATTCCTAAGCTACGACTTATTTTTAGCTAAACTTATCGTATTTTTCTTCATGTTCTTTATAAATCTGTTTTTGTACTAATAAGTGCGAAAAATATTCAAAATTCAAACCACGATAGACAGCTTCTCTGGCTTTAGGTAAAGCCATTAAATAAATTGGGCAAAAGTGTAACCAGTTTCATACCCAAGTCTCTGCATGAAGATAATAAGGATTCTAGAGAAAAATTGATACATATTACGTGAACTTCTTCGTCATATTTAGACTCATAAGCTCAATAATGTGACTTTTAGAACTAGTTATTTGTCAGGCACTTTACTATCATTAATTAAAAATATAGATCAATAGTTAACTAGCTCTAGCTCGTTGTCATCCTACATTTTATTTAACAAAAAGGGGTACGTAGTAGTGGTAAGACAAATCAGAAATATTTCAATAAATGTAAAGGTATTGAATGCTAACCTTTACGATCTAGCAAGCTTTTTCGTTCAGCTTTAAGGCCTGTGGTGCAGAATATTTTCCTATGTTTCTTTAGTAATTCCTTAAATAAAAATGAAGAATGATTATTGAAGACCAGTCACGTTACCACAAAAAATTTACAATAATATTTTTATATTTTTAAAGGATAAACATCATCGAACAAAAGTTGCATCCACAGGAAAATAATCTTCAACGTATGTTTTACAAAAAACCTATAAAGAAGGATGGGTTGCCTAAACATCATTCTAAGAATCGATAGTTTCATTGTGATGGAGTGGTAAAAGTTTAATGAAAATGTAAACTTTTAAATAATTTCGCAGTTTTCAATGGTTTAGACAGTCCAATCCATAAAGAGGATTTTTATAACTACTGTACTACATTACGTATGCACCGTGATTGATTAATAATCCCTCATGACTGTTGTCTAGTAGTCTAGTTGAATCTTTTGATCATTTGGAGTTCAAAAATAGAATAAAATAAGACTATATTTATATACAATTTGAAAAAATGGGCTCGACTTTTATAAAGAATGTGGTGAACTATCACATTTCCAAAGAGTAGATTCTCTTTTTGCTACGTGGTTGAAATATATGACACAAGTTTTAAGTTTTTTTTTCAGTAAAATATCAACGAAACGGAAATTAAAAAAGGCGCTATGTACTTTCATGAATAATAATGAGACCCTTGAGACGTTGACCACTTTTAAGTTGTATTCAAAAAGAGTAATCTATTAAACAAAATTTATCAAAATCTTATATAAGTATCTATGTAAAAACTACTGATGCGGCTTGCCTTAAGACAGTGAGAAAAGATTAAATCACATTTAAACAACAATGATTATATAAAAATCTAGTGATTTATTAATTTTTCTTGGAAATACTTCACTTTATGTACCTATACAAAGTAAGAAGCTGATTGGTACAGAAAAGCACCTACTATATTCCCAGAAGAGTTTATGATACTGCTTGTTACATAGATTACAGTAATTAATTTTAATTCATATGTTTCTTAAATGCCATAAAAAGTCCATAAAACTGGATTACCACCACCGATATTCATTTTCTGCAATATATAAATTAAATTGGTCGATGGGTAGTACAGTAACTAATAGTAAAATGTCCATTCTACAATTTATATTGGTGGTGCTCTGCATGACGTATGGAATCTATTGTCAGCAAGATGACCAGAAGAACATTTTTCAAATAAAGGAAACTGGCGGATCTTTATTTAAGGTAATTAGAAATTTTACTTGAATCTTATGTACTGTTTTTTACATATGTAGAATCCTTAAATTCTAATTGTAATTGTTAGGAACCATACATATGATGGAGTAATGGTCTCAATACTTCCAAATAAATAACCCTCTGACAAGCATACGAGGGCGGTTCAATAAGTACCCGTGTTAGAAATGAAGACACCTTGTTTTTTTAATTTTTTTTTATTTTTCAACATAGTCCCCTTTTAGAAAGATACACTTCTTCCAACGTCCCTGCCATTTCTTTTACCTCTTCAAAAAATAAGATTTGTCAAACTCTCCAAAATCCCCCCTGTCTCGGCGATGACTTCCTCGTTTGAGCTAAAGTTTTTTCTCGCCAGTCATTTCTTCATGGTAGGGAACAAGACGAAGTCGCAAATGCGTCCGTGTCTTCTTCAATTTTTTGTCGAAGCGGTCCAGTAACTCACTGTAGTATTGTCCAGTGATCGTTCTTCCTTTTCCTAAAATATCCGTAAAATGATTTCCTCGGTAACAACGTTTGTCAGGCTTCCTGGTTGCTCCTATCAAAAACGGATCATTGCCCACGTTTAAATTCGTTGAAGCAATATCTAACTGTGGCCGTAGATAGCGAAATGTCTCCATAAACAGTATCCAACTTTGTTTTCATTTCCTCGCATCTTTTGCCATCCAAAAACAAAAAGCGAGTTACCGAACGATACTGCTCTTTTTCCATCTTAGCGAAAATAACGAAACACGTCTCAGTCGAATGGCTAGCCAAATCCAAACTGACCCATCAGTCAGTCTGAAATGCGTTTTGGCGTGATTTGATAGATGACAGCACACGATGACAACACCAATTTCCTTAAGGAACGTCCTGTCTTCAAACACGGGTACTTATTGAACCGCCCTCGTAAAATTTGTTTAACAGAATGAGTTTATTGTCAGTTATAGTAACTGAATTTGAAATAACTTAAAACTATATTAAAAGTATGTTTTTAATCCGGTATTAATTCCTTGTCCCTCTCTTCGTAATAATGCATAGAAAAAAATTAGTTTCATTAGTTTAGAGCGGACCTTACTACCCTCTCGAAATCAGAGCGACATTCTCATGATGTATTTAATTTTTCATTTTGTCTTCTGAAAAATCCTTCAATTTTAACATGTATACACATATCTCCATTTAGTACCTACTCACGAGGGCTATTACTTTGTAGAACTAGAAAAATGTACATGACAAAATGATTTTATTACTTCAAGGTGGGTAGTGTTTTCGTTCATTTTTCTACATAAACCAACGCCCTCTTCATAAAAGCGCGTCTCCAATAAAGTCAGGTACACATTGATGGCATTTTGAAAATCTTTATAATGATGGACTTTACGGTAAATGATCGAAAACATCCCACTTGAATTGTATGGGAAAGCCTGTCGTCATGTTGGTACAATGATGTCTCGTATATTGTCATGGGTGAAAACCACGACACTTTAGACTTCGTACTGAGTGATTTCCACCTCAATTGGCAATTGAATAAGGAATAGTGTTAGGTAAACTAAATATAGGTACCAGATTTCATTGGTGGCAAGCTTTAGAAGAGCTTATCGGAAACATTGTGTGATGATGTAACAAATATTTCAATCTTCTCGGCGATATAGCACCACGTAGAAATATTTGTCATGCATTTTTCTAGATCGTCGAAGGTTGACAAAATAGCATTCGTATATTGATATGATGTTGTAGGATACTGAACAAGCCATAAAAATTACAAATGATTTAACAAGGACTAAAAGATATGCCGGCCCCTATAAAAAGGGTGGAGGAGGAAGTTGCTGCTATGGTGGACGTACATATGGGTAAGTTGGCCTAACAAAATCTATTTAGATAATAGCGATCGCAATCACTCAAGGGACCTAGCTAATATCGAACAAGAAGCACTACAAACGACTGGCGATAATATCTGTACATTTACAATGAAACATTTGGACAACAAATTCCTGATGTATCTATAAGTATAAACTCTTGAATCGGATGACATTTGTAGAATAATATTAATGATACAACGGGAGGAAAGCAAACCTTAAAAACTACAAAATCTTATCTTATTTCTTTAAGTATTAAATATACCCAGACCCGTGAATTTGAAATGAATTATTAAATAGGTCACGTGGAATTGCTTTGAATATTATTCTAAAGAAGATAATTATTATTATTTGAAATCAAGATGTAAATTGTCGTGTACCTAAGCATTTTCAATTTGGACGTTGTTAAAGGCTGTTTGCAACTTTATGAATACTTTCATCATCATCATAAGGTCGTCAATCCTAAGACTGGTTGGAAACGCACCTCCACTCTTTCCTATTCTGAGCTAATCTTCGCATTTCCCTAAAACTGGAACAACCCATATCCTTAACTATTTGCGAACAGTTATCTAATCTAAGTCTACCTCTACCCCTCCTAACTTCCGTTTCTGCCTCTAATATGTCTCTGACTAGACCTTCATGCCTGAGAAGGTGTCCTACCAACCTATCTCGCCTATTATTTATTGATTTCCATAGAGTCCTCTGTTCTCCTATTCTTTCCAATACCTCTTCATTTCTAACCTTTTCTACCCACGATATCCTCATCATCCGCCTATAACACCACATTTCGAACGCTTCTA